TTTGGCCCAAGTTTTTAGCTGATCACAAAACTCAATTCCGGACATATAATCAGTATCACTTGACAACCAATTAGTGCATAGGTGGCGAGCAATGCTAGGCCAGTAGGCATCTCCAGCCTTAATGGCACAGAGGCTCAGCAAATCACGCCATGCGGCGGAATAGGTCTGTTGAATCTGGACCACTGCTCTGTAAAAGGGCATAGGTTGTTTTTCTGGGTCAGGAAGTGACTTCATCAGGGCACTGGCCTGTGTTGGGTTAAAGGTAACATACATTACCGGGGCTTTGTCCCCCTGAACCTTGCGACCAAAGGGATCATTAAGAGAACGTCGCGGAGGTTGGGGCGAAACCTCCCTGGAGTCTGGTGGGGACTGGTAACCATGGGAGCTTACCGTGTCAAATTCATCTGCATGTGCTATCCTGACTCCCGGGGAGGGAACTACCTGTGGTGACAGGGCCGGGGGTAGAAGGGGCACTCCACCAGCCGGGGCTGCTGGTGAGCTATGGGTTGGAGGTAGCAGATCATTCGGAAGAACGGGCATAAGAGGGGCTATGTTACTGGGGGACGCCATATTGGAGGCGTGGAAGGAAGTTGCACTCGGGTTAAGTGAGGAAGTGGCGGCCATATTGGATGTGGGCAAAGTGTGGGCAGGTGTAATCGGGGTCGGCTGTGTGATTATGGGAGGTACGGGATAGGCGGGCTGGGGAGGCGGAAGTGTGGAATAGGCATAGGCTAAGGGCCAAGGCATTTGGGCGGGCGAATAGGCAGAATAGGCATAGGGCGGTGGCGGTGGGTAGGGATTAGGGAGAGGATGTGACGGGGAGGGGGAGGGACTGGGAACGGGTGGAGTAGAAGGAGCTGGAGGTTTGAGAGGAGGATAGGGTGGAGTAGGAGGGTCTGAGAGTACGGAAGAAGGAAGTAAGGGAGTAGTAGGAGGAGGAGAAAATGGAGAGGGTGGGTCGGTAGGAGGGGAGGAGGAAGATGAATAGGCAAGTGGGACGGCAGGATAGGACGGGCGAGAGGAGGGCATGTTGGAGGGGTGCAATGGACTGGAGGAAGATGGGCGCGGTAAAGGAAGGGATGAGGATGATGGGAGTTGGGAGATCGATGGAGGGGAAAATACAGATCCATCGGCATTCAGGACAGGGCAAACAGGGGTAGTGACAGGAAAAGGGGTGGCCACCTCATGTGCGCCATAACTAGGCGCGTGCTGGGGAGAATTTCCAGCGACAAAATTCTTATGATACACAAACATTTTCACACCCTTGTAATCAACCTCTTGTTCAATCCATCCCTCTTGCTGGATGGCTTTGGCTACTCTGTACCAGGCTTCCGCTGTGCGGACTAAATCATTGTCCATTAACTTGCCTTTCTTCTCTGTCAGTATCTTACGCCAGCTTTCTGGCTGCAATCTACCACACGGGGGTACCGTGATTCCACATACTTTAGCAATCTTATCAACCTTCTTAACCATCTCTTCACCTTCCCTATCTTCTACCAAGTCTCGTGCTAGCCAACCCTTATCGGGTTTTCCCAGTTTCTGTCCCATATTCCCTATACAAGGCGTCCCAGATATAGAGAGAGAAAGGAACAGAACGTCTACCGTGCTCGACTGCTACTTTAAGAGCAAGCTCTTTAAGTACGTCTTCCCAAAACGTAGACTAGTCACTGATTCCGCCTACCCGTGGTAGCCGCGGATTGGAGCGTGGCGAGAAGTGTGTGACCAATCACTTCTCTCAACAGAGAAAGAGAAATAGGAGGGGAAAGTGTAAATAGTACAGTGAGTAAGATAGAAGTAAACACAGGAATCTGTGTGACAGACAATTAAGACAATAACATTTCAGTGTAAATACAGTGCATGCATCACAGTTCAAATAAGTTCAACAGTTTTATCCCTTGCCTTTACTCGTGTGGCCAAAAGCCACCTCCCTCAACCTCGTAGTGTCCCTGTTGCGGACCCACCCACAAGTCTCACTACCAGCAGCCACAGGAAACAGCAACAGCTTCCAACCCGAATCCTGAATAGCCTAAAGAATTGGAATCTTACCTGCCTCAGTGCTCGAGGCTGGAATTTTACCAAGAAGAAGTGTCCGATGAGGCTAGCTAAGCGGTCAAAGTGACACTATGGGGAACCCCCAGGAAGCAGTGAGTCTATCACCCTCCACAGATTCCCCCTACTCTTTTTCCTTACAGCCACAGCTACGTGGCTCCTAAAAGAGTTAAACAGGCACTTACACTCCCCGGGTGCTAAATTAAACACAAACCAATACAAAAAAACACACCCAGGCAACAGATAGTCAACATGCAGGTAAACTAGGTATCATTAACAATACAAAGACTCTGGGCAAGTTATTACCTGACTTTGATGTCCTCTCGGTAGCAGTCACAGACACTGGGATAGGTCAATCACAGGGGCAGGAACATACCGGCTAGGTGCTGCAGCAATCTCTACCGTGTATTCAGAGGTGATCAGGCTCTTTTCCTTCCCCCAGGATTCAGCCCCCCCAGCGTCTTCTTGGACAGCTGCCCAGGCAGGACATAGCCCAGAGCCCCACGTTATGGCGCCAGTTGTTGTAGATAATTTACTGCAAACCAATTAGTTTGAATGACTATCTGTTCCTGTCCAAATTAAAGATAATAAAGTTGCGTGCACGCAGAAGTAAATTCACACTGAGACACAAAGTTCAGGTTAATGAAAGAACTTCGGAGAAGTTTAATGGCTTCTGACAGAAAATGGGTGCGCAGACCCTTTTAAAGGCATTATTACATCATTGAAGAAAATCAAGATATAGACAAATAGACATTGTTAATTGGCTTAGGTGCTAAGATGTTAGTAAAATGCCCTCCCTATGGGGTGTACCATCTTAAGTCACTATCCTCGTCATGCTTTTCTCCTCCAGGTTTTAGCGCCATTTTGCTAACATGAGGAGCTCACTCGACGGGAGGGGCCTTTTGGCAGCTATCCATTTAGAGTGTAGCTGGCACGGTTAGTTTCTCAAGGTTAGGTTTCAAGGCTTTTAGTAAATACACATTTTATCAAAGCTATTTCTTGCTGGCATGAAAATTCTATGTTCTATAGACAAAGCTTTCTTGTAAAACTATGGGGGCCTCTTAGAGGTATAGCAAGAGGATTTAAAGGGGCCTTACAGATTTATAGAGGCCTAATAATTCTACACCACCACCAGTTTGGCCATATTTCAGAGCTGCAACATCACTGGAGTGCCCAAAAGCACAAGGTGTGCAATACTCAGAGACATGGCCAAGGTAAGAAAGGCTGAAAGACGACCACCACTGAACAAGACACACAAGCTGAAACGTCAAGACTGGGCCAAGAAATATCTCAAGACTGATTTTTCTAAGGTTTTATGGACTGATGAAATGAGAGTGAGTCTTGATGGGCCAGATGGATGGGCCCGTGGCTGGATTGGTAAAGGGCAGAGAGCTCCAGTCCGACTCAGACGCCAGCAAGGTGGAGGTGGAGTACTGGTTTGGGCTGGTATCATCAAAGATGAGCTTGTGGGGCCTTTTCGGGTTGAGGATGGAGTCAAGCTCAACTCCCAGTCCTACTGCCAGTTCCTGGAAGACACCTTCTTCAAGCAGTGGTACAGGAAGAAGTCTTCATCCTTCAAGAAAAACATGATTTTCATGCAGGACAATGCTCCATCACACGCGTCCAAGTACTCCACAGCGTGGCTGGCAAGAAAGGGTATAAAAGAAGAAAATCTAATGACATGGCCTCCTTGTTCACCTGATCTGAACCCCATTGAGAACCTGTGGTCCATCATCAAATGTGAGATTTACAAGGAGGGAAAACAGTACACCTCTCTGAACAGTGTCTGGGAGGTTGTGGTTGCTGCTGCACGCAATGTTGATGGTGAACAGATCAAAACACTGACAGAATCCATGGATGGCAGGTTTTTGAGTGTCCTTGCAAAGAAAGGTGGCTATATTGGTCACTGATTTGTTTTTGTTTTGTTTTTGAATGTCAGAAATGTATATTTGTGAATGTTGAGATGTTATATTGGTTTCACTGGTAATAATAAATAATTGAAATGGGTATATATTTGTTTTTTGTTAAGTTGCCTAATAATTATGCACAGTAATAGTCACCTGCACACACAGATATCCCCCTAACATAGCTAAAACTAAAAACAAACTAAAAACTACTTCCAAAAATATTCAGCTTTGATATTAATGAGTTTTTTGGGTTCATTGAGAACATGGTTGTTGTTCAATAATAAAATTAATCCTCAAAAATACAACTTGCCTAATAATTCTGCACTCCCTGTATACTGTGTATATAATTTATGGTGTAAATATACACCCCCTGTATATACTGTGTATATAATGTATGGTGTAAATATACACACCCTGTATATACTGTGTATATAATGTATGGGGTAAATGTACTGCCCCTCTGTACTAGTGATTAGTAATTTTATTTTCTATGCAATTTTTTTATACGGTGTATTTCGATGTATTATTTACGTCTGTAATTACAGAGTCACAGATTATTGTAACTCCCACAGAGCCTGATCTCAGGCTGTCTGAGTATCTTTATGAGGACAAACTCAAACCGATAGTAGATAACTGAGAGGATCTGACCCTGCAGGTCAACTACCCACGGACTGGAGAGGTGAGGGATTCTGGGAATGTCACAGCAACTACACTGTAGCGGAGATGCAATATTCCCCAGGTTATCTCCGCTTATAATCCAAGAGAGGCTCAGGAACAAGTAAATAGTAAATCCACAGGCAAGGTTTCCAGCAGGTAAAATAACAGCAATATCCCAACAGCAATCCCAATAACTGGACGACACACAGTTTCAGGAGCAGAACTGAAAGCTTTAATCCACTGTCCTTTTAAAGCATGCTCCCATGCAAGGGAGGGATTTACAATCATTAGAACAGTAGCCAATCCTGTCCTGGTAACCTCCCACACATCTCCTCCCCTCAGCCAGCATCATAATCCCCTTATCCAGTACATTAAATCCCCCCGTTTCTGGATGTACCCCTAAACGTAGGGGTACCCCTTTAAATCCTACATCCCCGGATAGCCCTGATCTAGGTGCACAACATATCCAAAAATCACCCAGATCAGACCAGGGGTTCGGGAAATATATGGAGGGAATAAAATGACCGACCGCACTAACTGAGACAGCCGAATGTGGTTCCATACGAATGGGCCCTGCGGTCGGTCCTGGAATAAGGGAACAAACTACACGAAAGCCTCTAGCTATAGAGGCTAGGGAGGGTTCGCCTGAATCCCCTCGTTCGGTTCTTTCTATTTACCGAACGAGGGGCCGTTCGGTAGTTAGGAACCGAACGGACCGGGCTTGTGGAGGTTTCAGCGGTGTTCGCCTACTCGAGTGTCCGATTTGAGTTCCAGACACTCGATGGCAACACCGCTGTTCGGGAGTTTTAAAATGGCCGCCGCCACGTGTTCGTTTGTCGAATGGCGGCCACCCCGAGAACAAAGGACGGCTACTTAACTTGTCAATTACCCGTTCGCAACAATGTTGCAACGGGTAATTGAGGACACACTTCACACAGGGGAGGTCTGATTGTTCGGTAGTTTAATTCGAATAAACTAAGGGAATGAAACTACCGAACAATCAGAGTAATACAATTCTTTTAAAACATATAACAACAGCAGATCACACGAATGCAGTTATTCACAATACATTTGCAGGACAGCCCAGTGCCATCCGCTACATACACTTTAATCACTTGTTTTAACATTAATCTGGAGTTATTACAGGAGAGATTTGTGAAATGGATACTAAGAAGACTTCTAATAAATCTGTTTATCCTCAGAGTAGACACTATGTGCTCGTGCAGAAATAAAACACACATGACCGTGAGACCAAGCCATTAACAGTGTTGGATTGCCCTACAGAGAATTATTTTAATTTTTAAACAATTTTATTTCTGTTTATGTGTCAGTCACTTAGGAGAATCCATTCATCCTCAGGTAGGTGCCCTCTGATATTAGATTGGACCACTAAAACTCGCATACAATTCTCACCAAGCAAACATCAGCTGATCGACTCAGCAATACAGAAACACAAAGGGCAGCAGAGTAGAAGACATGAGAGCGGCCATGTGTGGTGTATTGTTATGTTAAAAAGGTATAGGAAGATCTAGATAGAGAGGAGGATACACCTCGTCCCTACACTAGGTCAACCAAAAAAGGAATCCCCATCCTAGTTATAATGCATTATAACTAGGATGGGGATTCCTTTTTTGGTTGACCTAGTGTAGGGACGAGGTGTATCCTCCTCTCTATCTAGATCTTCCTATACCTTTTTATTTTTCAAACGTATGTAAGGGTTACCCCCTTTTCGGGATCCCCCAGACACACTCATAGGCTGGTTGCCTTTGGTTACCGGCTACTCTTTTCATTTTGTATTGTTATGTTATCAGTGGTTACATTGACAGTGACAGCTGTTTAATTGAGGAGAGATAATCCAGAACAGTTTCAATCGGATGTTGGTCACATCTCAATCCGGTGATTAGTTTCAGGCTGGTCGTGGCTAAGCGGCCGTCTGTAAGTGGAGTCACCTGTGGCCTTGGAAAAGTGGGCTCTCCCAGGCTCATATTTATTGGTTCTTGGTAGTGACCTTCTGTACCTTCCCTCCAAATAACGTGTTGGTAGTGACCCTCTGTACCTCTAAAAAAAAGTGTTAAAGCAGTGGGTAAACTTGATCTGGCAGGTAAGGCCGAGCCGGAGTTCCAGAGAATCAGGGAAACGTCACCCGGAAGGCATAGCGGTTCTGGCATCACAGGGTACTGTGTGCGGTTAAGATGGGCGAGTGCTCTGATGGAATAAATGGGAGGGAGATGGAAGAGAGCCAAGAAGTGATTTTGAGGTCTAGTATAACAGAGTCCTGCACCAGTAATACAAGAAATATGCAGGCTCTGCCACATATTTAGCCTCCTTCCCATGCTACAACATCTGGATTTAGAGGTTCACCTTAAACATCCTCTTGATTCTCAAGGAAGGAATACATCTTGCTCCGGAGATGGGTGAACATGGGGATGGCCTGTCCCTGACTGGCAGTGACTAATTCAAATTCCATGGGTTAAACCTACGTGGTTCAAGAACTACCGCTAGCTGTTTGTGTGTCAGGGCTTGTTGCTGTTATGTATTTCATTTGACTTTTAAACTCTCTATGTGTGGGGGTTTGTGTTTAACTGCATTTTTGTTCAAGGTTGGAACTAATAAATATCATAATAATAATGTCTGCTAGAATAACTCTCTTGCAGTCAAAGCCCGAAAACAATATATTTTGCATCAAAAAAGCGGATAAGGCAGAGAATTTCATCTCTACATTGCTTTCTGCAACTGTGCAAAGCTGTGCAGTCTGCCAACGAGGGCACCTGTCCTGCGTTTACCAAAAGTGGGGACACAGGTGAGCATAAAAGTATTTAAACATTTAAATTACTATTAAAAAATTAGTTAAAATTTTAACTGCAGTTCTACAGCTATCTTGGAGCTCTTTCATTCACACACAGTCAGATCAGCAAACCAAACTAAGAAAAAAAATAAATTTAAAGGATCACTATAGGGTCAGGAACACAAACATGTATTCCTGACCCTATAGTGTTAACACCATCATCTAGCCCTGCCTGGGCCCCTCATTCCTCCCTAAATATAGCAAAAATCTTACTGTAATTATGCCTCAAGCTGTAGCTCTGCATGCTGTTAGACTCAGAAAACAAGCAGTCTACTGACATCATCAGAAGTGGTGGCCTGATCCAATCATAATGCTTCCCCATAGGATTGGCTGAGACTGACAGTGGCAGAGCCAGCATGATTCAAACACAGCCCTGGCCAATCAGCATCTCCTCATAGACATGAATTGAATCAATGAATCTCTATGAGGAAAGTTCAGTGTCTGCATGCAGAGGGAGGAGATACTGAATGTTTGGATGCATTTTAGGCAGCCATGACCCAGGAAGGATCTCTAACAGCCATCTGAGGAGTGGCCAGTGAAGTTATCACTAGGCTGTAATGTAAACACTGCATTTTCTCTGAAAAGCCTGACGGTAATGATTCTACTCATTCAATAAGCTGTAGTTGTTCTGGTGACTATAGAGTCCCTTTAACTAACAACAACCATTTACTTTCACCTATTGCAGTACTAAGAAAACAAAATTAAAATAAATACATGTTGGTCGGCACAGTGTGTTCAAGCTGTGCAGTGCACCAAAGAAAGGAAGTGCAGAGAAAAAAATACCTGCTGTCTCTTCTGAAATGAAATAGGCTCAGTCTGCTTTGTAAGTGGTTTTGCTCAGCAGGCTCACAATAACTGAGGCTGCAGTAGCCGCATAGCTCAGTGGTGGTGTGGAGGAAACATGCCCCTGCTCTGGATTTACATAGTCTTTTCTCATTGTAGTTTTTTTCTTTTTTGTTATTTTAAAGGAGGGTCGCAGCTCACACCATTGGCCAAGCCCCTTGTACATCATGTCACAGAACTGAGCTGATTTGGCTCATAGATTGCACTCCCCCCCCCCCCTCTCCCCTTTGTCTGCTGCAAGCGCCGTCTATGTCACATGAATGGACGAATGGCGCATGGAAGAATATCATTCAGTGTGCGTTTGTTCATTCTTCCATCGTGCCATTCGTTCTTTGGATTAATGTGTCTATTTTCATCTCAATATCAATTCTTACGAAAATGAATATCTACGTCTAGACCAGGGATGTGTCTGGATGGGGACTGTATAATAATGTGGGGATCTCACAGTCTGGTTTTTTTCTCGTGTAGGTGTGGAAGTATTTAAAAAGGCAGAGGGAAACTTGGGAGAACTTTATGATGGAGAGTCACCCACCCCCTCATCTCTCTGGGTGAGACAAAGCCTAATCAGCGAAGTGTTTGGTTATAGAGCTGATACCATTCACTTATATCATCAAACACCCGGTAACAATTACACACTGTAAGATCTGTACAGTGTTTACACAAACCATAAGAACAAAATAATTTAGTCTATTATCTTTGTATTACAGAACAGAGATGAAGTTATACAAGTCATGTGATGGCCACTGAATTTTTGCAAGGCCCATCCTTCAGTTAGGTTATTCTATGAAGTCACAGGGAATCCTGATGGCAAGTGATTAGTTGCCAGTCCAGTCCTAGGATATTTTACGTGCATAGCTGCTGCAAGGTTTGATAAAGTGGAGGTCTACCTTCCAGCCTCTAGAACTTGTTCTGCATGTTGGGTAGACACTCACTCAATGAGTAAGTGGTAAAATAGCATTAAAGGGATACTGTAGTGCCAGGAATACAAAGCTGTGTTCCTGGCACTACGATCCCTCTGACTCCAGCCCTCCCTCGCGTTCCTTTCCCCCAGTAAATAAAGGGTTAAAAACCTCCGCCCCCTTCTCCATCCCTCGGTGAGCGGATGCTAATGTGCATGCGCGGCAAATGCCATGCGCACATTAGACCTCCCCATAGGAAAGCATTGAATCAGTGCTTTCCTATGGGGAAAATCTTATGCTGGAGGTCCTCATGCAGAGCGTGAGGTCGTCCAGCGTCAGATAATGGACCAAAAGTCCATTTGGATTCTGGAAGTGCAGACAGCCACTGAGTGCAGACTTAGAGCTGCAATGTTTAACATTGCAGCACTAAGTGCAAAAGGTACACTGCACCCAGACTACTTCAATGAGCTCAAGTGGTCTGGGTGCATACAGTGTCCCTTTAAGGAATCCTGGGGAGTACGAAGAAAAATCATAATTGGTAATATCACTTGGTTACGTTTTCCTGTCACTGTAGAATACTGCAGTGCCCACCTTCCTCCCATCCCATGTTGCTTAAGGGGTTAAACCCCTTCAGTGACTTACCTGAATCCAGTGATAGCATTAACGTTGGTCTATTTATGAAAATCAGAACAATAAGATGTAGTACTTTTCATATTTAGAGTGTCTCTTTATGTATGCTTTTCTTTAACCCATTAAGGACCAAACTTCTGGAATAAAAGGGAATCATGTCATGTGTCCTTAAGGGGTTAAGCTCAGTCTCAGATTTCAAGATAGCAGTAGCATTTTATATTCCTACATAATGTCAAATCTCCTAATGTAGAATCATTTCTTTTCAATAGATTGCTCCGTAGACCGAAATAAAACCAGTGAATCCTATACTTCAGTTTGTTCTCTGGATTATATAACCGAAGATTATAAAATCAATAAAATAAAAATAAATAAACTATGTGGCC